CCATGGTACTTTTAATATTCACCTCCAAAACAATAATTTAAATGCATCAATTATTTTAAGGTCTTCTTTAATCACTGTGCAGCTTTCACATGCATATGAGGTTATTGAGAATCCCGTGGCCTGAGTCAGGTGCACCTTAGTCCTCAAATTGACATATTTACTCTTGAACTCTTTAAAAGGTCTTATGCAACAGATTTGCTTAAGGCAATACATCGTTTGATTTCTTGGCTGCTGCTTCCATAAGTGTTGATGGTTGATACAAGCAAAATAAAGTCCTTGGCAACTTCAATCTTTTCTCCATTTATCTTGATGTTATTTACTAATCCAGTGGTGATACTTTTTGCTTTCTTTATAATGAGGTGCAACGCATAACAAAGGCTATGCTCTTTGATTTTCATCAGTATTTTAAGTCCTCTTTGCTTTCAGCAAGCAAAGTTGCATCACCTGCAGATATTAATGTTCTTTCTCCAATACTGATACCATGTTTTTCTTCATATAATGCAACTTCTCAGATTATATACTCAGCATACAGACTGAATAAATATGGTGAGAGAATGTAACCATAAGGTGCATCTTTCCTAATATTAAACCATTCAGTATTCCCTTGTTGTGGTTGAACAACTGCCCCTTGGTCTATGCACAGGTTCCTCATGAACACAATTAAGTTCCAGAATGCTCATTACTTGCAATGTTGTCCAGAGCTTGTCTACACACAATCAAAAACCTTTGTATAGCCAATAAACCACATTTACATATCTTTCCGATATTCTCTGCCTTCAGCCAAGATCCATCTGACATAAGCAATGATATCCCTTGTTCCATATTCTCTTTGGAGTCCAGCTTGAACCTCTGACAGTTCTCTGTCAATGTACGTTGTAGCCATTTTTGTATTATCTTTAGAAAAATTTTACTTGCATGTGATATTGTCTGATGAATTTCACACTCTGTTGGGTCACCTCTGTTTGCATTGGGCACACGTATGAATATCTTCCAAGAAGTTGCCTTACAAATGTTTTGCTATAGATGAGTGAGTGCCTCCAGTACTGCAACAGAGTGATGAAAGAGTTCAATTGGTGTGCCATCATTTCCTAGAGCCTTTTTCTTTGCAATACCTTCAGTGCACCTTGGACTTGTTTCTTCAGTATCATTGGTTCTTGATCATATGCTGTCTCTTCAAATATTTGAACATCAACCATCTCTTTCTGGTACAGAAACCATTTTTTTTTTTTTTTTTTTTTTGATGCTTTCAGTATCATTCATTATTGTGCCCAAGGAATCCTTCAAAATTTAAAGTCTAGACTTGAATTTTTCCTCAGTTCTTTCACCTACAAATCTGTGCATATTGCATTATAATATTTTACTTTGTCTTCTATAGCTGCCCTTTGAAATTTTCTGTTCAGTTCTTTTACATCTTCATTTTTTTTCCATTTGCTATTGTATACTGGAGAGCAAATTCAGAGTTTCGTCTGACATCCATTTTGGTCTTTTCTTTCTTTCTTGTCTTCTTAATGACTTTTTGCTCTCTTCCTCTATGATGTTCTTGATGCCATCCCACAACTATTCTGGTCTTCAGTATTTTTTGTCTATGCATTAAACTGTTCTTGAAATGATCTCTAAATTCAGGTGGAATATAATCAAAATCATATTTTAGCTCATGTGGACTTGTTTTAAATTTCTTCAGCTTCAGCCTGTTCCACAGTCTGTCTTTGGCCTTGTTTGGGATGAAAATATGGAGCCTTTCCACCATCTCTTTCCACAAATGTAGTCAATTTGGTTTCTGTGCATTCCATCTCATGAGGTCCATGTGTATAGTCTTCTTTTATGTTGTTTAAAAAGTGTTTTTTTGTAATGAAGACGTCATTGGTCTTGCAAAATCCTATGATGCAATCTTCAGTATCTTTTCTATTATCATGGCCATGTTTTCCAATGACTGATCCTTCCCCTGTTTTTCCAACATTTGCATTTAAGTCATCAGTAGTTATCAATATATCTTGATGATCAATTTCAGACTGAAGAAGTTGGTAAAATTCTTCAATTTCATAATCACTGGCTTTAGTGGTTCTTTTGTAAATTTCAATAATAACAGTATTTACTGGTCTCCCCTGTAGGCATACAGATATTTTCCTTTCATAGACTTCAGGGAAGATCTTGAAATATTCTTTTGATGATGAATATGATGCCATTCCACTTCTATTTTTCATTCCCATTATAGTAAATAATGTGATTGCCAATTTAAAATGGCCAATACCAGTCCATTTTAGCTCACTAATGGAGTATTGGTATGGCGCTATAAGAAAAGCACTGGACCACAAGATCTGTTTGACCATTCATACTCACCAGCCACTCTTAAGAAATCCAAATAGATTCACTACAACTCAGAACTGACTCAATGGCACTTAACAATAATAACAGCAATGCCTAGGATATAGATATTTGTGTGTTCTATTTCTTGGTGGTTTTTTGTTGTTGTTGTTGTTGTTGTTGTTGTTGTTTTTCAAGGAGCTCTGGTAGCGTAGTGGTTACGAATCGGGCTATGAACTGCAAGGTCAGCAGTTCAAAACTACCAGCTGTTCTGCGGGAAAAAGATGAGGCTTTCTGCTCCTGTGAAGGTTTAACCTCGGAAACCCTGTACAGGGTCGCTATGAGTTGGAACCAACTCCACAGCACATAACAACAACAACATTTCATTTTTGCCAATTTCAAGTTTTCCTATATTCACACTTTGTACATTCCATGTTATGATTATTATTGGATGTCTACAGCTATTTCTCTTCATTTTGAGTTTTGCCCCTTCAGCAAATGCAAATAAAGATCCCCAAACTTTATTTTCTTCACATCATTATGGTCAACTCTACTTTGAGGAGACAATTCCTCCCCTACAGTATTTTTCAGTATCTTCCAACCTGAGGGGCTCATCTTCTGGCACTATATCTGACAATACTCTGATTACTTCATGCTTCCATATTCAATATTTTAGTGCTATCTGACTACTATGCATAAGGTTTTCAGTGACTAAATATTCAGAAGTAGTCTGTCTCTCTTATTCCTGACCTGTTTTTGTCTGGACGCTCGTGTGAAACATGTCTACCATGGGTGACCCTGCTGGCATTTGAAATCCCAGGTAGCTGCCAGAATCATAGCAACATGCAAGCCACCACAGTACAACAAACTAGATCTATAAATATAAATAGAGAGAGCTAGTATTAAAAGTAAGAAGTTCAATTGTCTACATATGAATATTATAGACATGGTCAATATATGTAAGGAGAATGTACCATCATCTTCCATAAATCCAGCTATGTTCGTGGAAGTCTGAATAGATCTTTCAGATACTTTAGCAGCATCAGGGTGGAATAGAGAGTGAAACAGATGCTGCCTTTTGATATATTGTCTTAGAAGACTTTGATCCTGACCCTAAATCTGCCACTATATTCAATGTAACTACAGACGGCAATTGGTTTTCTCAGTATAAATATTAATATAGTAGCCACAAGAAGAGAGGGAGAGCAGTGCTGCTAAGTAATGTCTGTTGTACCTCTGCAAATATAACTATTTCACTGAATCAGGCAAGCATATGTGACCAATTTTGACTAATTTGAATAAAATATATTTTTATTTTCATAGGAATATATCACTTATTTTTTGGAAAACTTTGATATTTGTTTCTATTTTTTTTGTTGTTGTTGTTATGCTATAAATAAAATGTGCCCTTCTACCCATTTCTTGAGTGTAGGAATTCAGCTGAACCTTTGTTTTACAAAACACTTAATTGAACTATGCTTGTAAGTCAGAATTATAAATTATATTAGCTTACAATGGCATTGTATTGTTTATTTAATTTATGCTTATGAGGGTGAAGAAGAATGTCAGTTTTTCCTTTGAAAATTCAGTAAGATAGATAATAGAAGAGCCAAGTGAAGATATTCAGCAAAAATATTTTGGCTTAAATGGCCTAATATGAAAACAAATATATGGCAATCTCTTGTTGTTAAATGCCATCAAGTTAGTTCTGACTCATAGCGGTCCAGTATAGGGTTTCCAAGGAGTTGCTGGTAATTTTGAACTACTGATCTTGTGGTTCAAACAGACCTTTCAGTCAGTGCTTTATCCCACAGCACCACACCAGGAAATCACAAGTGACTTATAACTTAACTGTTGGATGAAAATAGCAAATTAAACAATGGGCATAGAATAGACAGGTGAGATTATGCACACAAAAAATTATTGAAAGGTGACTTACTCTCATAACTAGCCTAGAGATATGCTTCTGTCATTTATAATTTATTCTTGCAATAAAAAGTAAATACATTTTGAATCAAAAGATTCATTATATAGTGCATGCATTAAGAAATGTGAATTGAGTTGCATAAAGTATGCATATTTATTGTATAATACATATGGATACATCAAGTTGACATTGCTTTCCTTTTGCTAATCTCAATCTCAGTCTCATCTAAATAAATGCAAGATATTGAAAAATAGCAAATTACTAGCAATTTTGACTTTTTTTTCATTTAAATCTGGAGTAATTGTTACTTGGATTTCTCGGTTTATCTAGTCATTTGTATGTTTGTGATGTAAGTGAAAACATTTAATTTCAGCCAAGAAGTTATCAATATTCACATTGATAAATCAGTGGAGAACACCCATCATAACAAACAAATAATTGAGTTTAGCAAACAAAATAAAAGCCATATTATGTTTTTAAATTAGGAGATTTTATTAGAAGGTGAGCAAATAATCCAAACAGCTATAAATGAAAAAAGCAGAGAGTTCTAGGATTGTGACAGATATATAGTTCAACAGCTTGGGAAAATATAGTTCAAACAATAAGAGAAAGTCACAGTAATCGATTATCTATTTCATAATACTAAGAATTTCTGAGCTGATAAATTCTTTTGTTTACATTGTCCCAGCATGACTATCAGTTGCCCAACTAATGGAATCGTAATTTGAAATCCTCCTTACAATTTCAGGTGCTAGATTAATGGAGCAATAGTTCAGTAGAAGCTGGAGAATCTGTATCTTCCAAAGCAAGATGGGCGGCAGCCGCCATATCCGTAGCCTCCGTAGCCAGAACCAAATCCATAGCCTCCAAAGCCAGAACCATATCCGTAGCCTCCGTAGCCGCAGCCATAGCCACATCCACAGCCATAACCATAGCCCAGACCGCCGAAGCCGCCATAGCCAAGGCCTCCGTAGTAGTTGCCGTAGTAGCTCATGGTGTCAGTGGTGATGAGTGGCTTGCTGTTTAAGACAATGAATGTATAAATGTCAACCCCTGCAGAGTGATACTTATATACCTTGATCAAATCATGTGATAAAGCATATGCCTTCTATTTTTGTGACATTATGGCCTGCATACAAAGAGGTCCTCAAACTCATTAAAACATTTGAGCTTGCATTGTTGCCTAGCTATGGTATGCCTTAAACATGTTACATCATTTTTATGAGGATTGCTGTATCTTCAAAGTCTCGTCATACCAAGGCCTAAATAGAATTTTTCATAGCCAAGTATATTGCATAATACTTATTAGATAATGTTGCACATTAAAATTAAATATTGCTTCATCTCTACCTCTGCTTCATCTCTGGATTTTTGATCTTTCTCTAACAATTAAACAAAATAAATTGGTTAAATTTAAGGCTTGACAACTTATTATATCACTTTAAAGATACCTTTTTAATATATATTTTTATCAAAGCTAAGGGAACATGTGACTGCCTGGAGGTAGGAAGTCATCTTCTGTTAACACCAGTAAGGAATTTCATGAAAAAGAATTAGTCATACTTTTAAAAAAAATATATTTTAGACCATTCATCATCATAGTCAATATTATCTTTTTGCCTTTGCACTTTAATTTGAAAGTAAAAAATTAAATTCAACAGCATGGAAGAATATAATTCAAGCAATAAGGGCAAATCACAGTAATCAAATATCTATTTCATAAACATTTATAAAAACTGAACAAAACTTTCCTTTTTATAGTCTTATTGCCTTTCTGATATGTCATCCACCAAAATATAATGAAAAATATAGATTAAATTTGTTCTCCTATCCTTATATCGGAGTCCTGGTGTGGCGTTGTGAGATACGCATTGGGCCATAAAGGACAGTTTGAGCAACAACCAGTGGTGCAAATCCACTAGCTACTCCTCAGAAACCTACAGGTAAATTCTGATTCAGAAACCAACTCCATGGGACTTCATGACAATAACAATCCATATACAAACCATTTCCCTAAACCATATG